CTTTTTTAAAATTTAGAATTCATAAATTCAAAATTCAAGTTTATTCGAGGTCCGAAGACATGCATGGTATGCATCTAACTTAGTATTACAACTGAAATCTTGAAGCAACATGAGAAATAAACATAGTGTAAAGTACAGAGAATGAGAAATAAACATAGTATCTTGCAAAATTAGACAGCAAAATATAGTACTTTTGAAAGGGACTTGATCCTCCTCCTTTTTTAATTCTTTTTTTTTTTTAAAGATTTGATGAGAGGATATATATAAAGGTTATAAAGGTTAAAAGGATCATTAAGTTCAGTTTGTACAGCAAATGCTGTCAACTAATATACATAATCACAAAGCTTGAGCTTTTTTATTATTATTTTTATTTTGGATGTGGATAGAGAGAGAAAAAACAGAAATTGGGAAGAAAGGATTCTGTTTATAAAATTAAATAAAGAAAGTTGTGCCATTGCAAATGTTGAATTTCTTGGTTGTGCAAGTTTCTCAATTTGTAGTTAATTTCTCTAATTTATTCCATAACTGACCTTGTCATATATTACAATTATTATCACTTCTTTTTTCAAATATTATCACTTAGCCAAAAGTTGCCATCTTTTAATTTGTGATTCCATGTCAATAAGATATTGAACCTTTTCTTCTTGTTTTTTTTTAATAATTATTTCTCCAAACATGTTACTGTTATTGGTAAAATATTTTTTCATGACTGCACACAAACTTGCTAGGGAAAAGATATGATTTATCCTTCTAATTACCTAGGTTTTACCCTCTGTTTCAATTTGTTTGTCCTACTTTCCTTTTCAATCCGTTTTAAAAGAAGGAATCTCTTAAAGAATGTCTATTTCCATTTTTAACAACTTTTTAGTTCCAACTTTTCAATTGTCATGTTTAAAACTATAAAATTAAAGGACATTTTGGTATATTTGAGGTATGTTTAATATGAGATTACAAGATTTAAAAATCTTCTTTACTTTTAATTTTGTGCCAAATCAAAAAGCAGACAAATAAATTAAAACGAAGGGAGTAAAACTTCTAAGATTTACTTCCAATTTTGGTTCGTCTGTTGCATGAGGGATTTAACTTGAAGCACTAACATCTTAGCTGATCTTTGCACTAACATTATATTCATACTGTAGCAGGCTATTTACTTTTAACAGTTTAACTATCCATGTTACCACATTAGACTTTTTATAAAGGGCTACCTGTTGTTGTCATTCAACTTAACTGATACAACATATCTAGTGAAGTTTCACAAAGTGAGGTGTGGGGAGAGTAGAGTAAACGGAGGCCTTACCACTACCTCGTAGAGGTAGGGAGGCTGTTTCCGAAATATCCTTGGCTCAAGTGCATCAAATCCACATAAAAGAAAAGAAAAAACAATGAAAAACGCATAACAATTAGTACGATGGTTTATTGCACTAAACCAATCCACAAATTAATTTCCCTTTAGATATTGTCTAAAATAATACGACAGTTTATTGCACTAAACTCCTTTTATATGCAGAATTTCGAGAATAGCGAACTACATAAAGTCTAATATAGATCAATAGTTTTATCCTGTATTTTTACAAAAGGTCATTTCTATGACTTGAACCCGTGATCTCCGGTTTCTATAGAACCTAGGACTAAAATATCCTCTAGGGGATAAGGCTAAGTGAAACAAAAAGGGTTTTTCATGAGATGGGGAAATGAACACTATTGTCCCCATACGAAGCTTGAATAAGTGATTGTTCTCATAATAAGCAAGGAACATCCATCTTTATGCTAAAAAGGATGGATTGAACTCATAGTTCATTAGATATTTTTTTATGAATGACAACTAAGTATCGTAAGTAAATTGCTCCCGGTTGTTCAAACATTTGACAACCAGAGTCATTCTTTGATAAATGATTCATGGCTAAGGCGGAGTTTTGATTTAAGTTTTATGGGTTCAATATTTAAGGTCCTTAGTATTGAACCTATTATATCTTTAAAGTTATGGGTTCATATACTATTTGTTGCAATTTACATCCAAAGTACTAGGTTTGGATGAACACGATACAGTATGTTACATCCGCCTCTTGTTTACAGTGTTTAACTTTTACCATTTCAGTAATGGAGCCCTTCCTCTATAATTTAAGCCTAACATTAAAATTAAGTAGATTTCATGTTTACTTACCACTTGAGAAGCAAACATCAGCATCTTTTCAGGTGGGAAATTAGCAGAGAGAGCTGCAAATACATCAAGGAAAACCATGAGACAAAGACATAAATAACAACAGACAACAGCCTGATCTAGTCGTTTGATACTCACCTACTAAATGAACCAAGACGGACTTCATGGAAGCATAATTGAAACAGAAATTGTTTAGACACTTTAAATCCCTAGCAGCGACAAGCATAGGGAGAACAGCGGAGATGCCACACTACTAAAGTAAGAACAGTTGCAGCAAGAGCGGTTGACAAAAGGCGCATAGTATACTAACTATACTATTATTTCACGTACAATAAAGAACTGCTCCAACAAATGCATCTCCAGCACCAGTTGTATCAACTATTTCCGAGAATGGTATCTTTTCAGCTGTTCCCACGAGCAGCCTACCACACACAGTCCCAATCCCTTTCGCGTGCAGCTTTGCAATATCCTGGAATAATACATATATTTTGACCTACGTTATCAAACACCAAATAATCTTTTAACTATTCTAGCTTAAATTTCTTTAGAAGCATCAAGAGATCTATTATAAAAATCTAAGTTTGCTAATCTGAAAGCGATAAATTACATGAATACTCATATACAGGAGGGGACTATTCATCTTTCACCTACAAGAGATGCACATTAAGAAAACATTTCACACATGCCTCAACCCAAATAGACATCTCCATATATAAGCAATTGACTTTTGAAACTGATGAAGTACAAGAACAAAAGCTCCAAACACTTCTTATGTGCCTGGATATACTTAAATAAAGTCCTATAGTTTCCATCCTACGGTGTAAACAATGTCTAACTACAAGGTAGAAATTGACTTTTATGTGCATTACCGCATTACCATCAAACTTTCTATCTGCATTGAGCAAGAAAATCTCACAACTGAAGGGCAAACTACGTACCAAGGTTTTGCATGTTGGCAGGGTTGAGGTAGTATCAATACTCTGCTTCATTTTTTCAAACAAGTCATCAATATCAACTTCTTCAGGCTGGATATCCCCTGCAAATATACTAAATCCATGTTATGAATCAAAGGCTGATTCTATGTCTATCAGAACGCTTCATTTGCCAAGATAAAGTACTCAAAGTATTTTTCGTGCCAAGAAGCAGCATGTTAGCATACCAGTTTCTGCTCTTTCTAGCATTACGCAGCCATCTTCTCCCAATGTAGCAATTACAAATTTGGTACTTGGCAACTTTAAAAGCATGGAAATTAGTCCACCTGCTATAGAAGGAGCCTCGGTCCATATCTGAGAGACAAACGGCTTTATTCAATTTTCACATGCTTAACTTATGAAAGACTGTACGGGGTCCTCGATTATGGAACCGGGACGCAAAGGATGACATTCACTTCTATTAGCTATTATACCAAAATCAATTCTATTCCATGATTACATGGTATAACAACGGAAAAAAGATATTCTATTCACAACAGTTGCTATAAATATTTTGGACAAACATATCACTAGAAGAGAGAAAGTATGACAAATTTAATTTTCCAAATAAACTAAAACTTGCCAACCGATACTAATCTTATATAGTAGATCCATGGAAGTCCAATCAAAATGTGCAACAAATAAATCATTGAAAGTCAGTCTACCAGAGTAAATACTAAATAGCTTACCTGTGGAAATCTTGTGGAGCAAACAATGTAGGTTGCCAAGTGTAGAAGCTCATCCAACCCTTCTATTTTTCTTTCTGCATCAATCACAATAGGTATACTCCTTTGATGTGCCTACGCTAGAGATCAAAAGGCATTCAATTTTTTTCCATTTAGCTGAAAATAATCAGCAAGTCCTGAGGCATTAGGAACAAAAGCTAGAAACAGAATTATGTCCAGTGCTCTTGGTCTGCCGGAGCTTAGTGGAAGACTAGAAATATGATCAGAAGTTGATTATACATACATTCTATTAGCAAGCAGAAGCTCGAATTAAATAACAAGGAAGACCATTGAAAATTACCTCTTGGGCCACAACTAAAGCAGCTTCATGAAGTACTCCATCAGTATAGACAAGCCTCACACCATCCAATGCAGACGACAAACTCGAGTCTGGCAAATCATCAGCTACCATGGGTGGATACCCTGGTGTGTAGATGGAAGTTCGTGTTTTCCTGAGATAGCATACAACAAAAATCAGCTTCAGCAGAACAAGTTACAGAACGATCATCTGTCCAATTATACGGACCAACATGCAGTAAGATAGAAATGAAGAGAAATGTAGCCAACAGGCCATTTTTGTACTTTAGGAATTAGTAAAGAAGAGAGGGAAAAAAGAAGTCACGGGACATATTGCTTATGAATAAATACTTATCCACATTTGGAGTCTACTAGCATATAGCATATTCTAAAAAGATGAATTCCGTGTGAATAGTTTTAATATTGTAGTTGATCTAGACATCTAATAGTAAATCAAAAGAATATGTCTACGGAATGAATTTGCAAAAACAGTATTCATAAATCATCCATCTCATCACCCAAGAGAAAGCTCAATAAATGCCTATATAACATTTACTAAAATGGCATTAAACCAAGTTGAGTACTGACGTTTGACTGTCAACAATAACATAAGAGATTGTTGAATGGCCCCCTTTGGACACTTGAAATATGTAACAATATGATGTTAAGAGGTAAAATTTGATGCTTCAAAATTTTTAATTGACTGAATAGGCGCGTTGTAAGCTACATCATCCTTGCATACAAGAGAGAAGTGCAAGATGCACAAAAACTTTCACAGTTAACCTGTGGCTGGCTCACCACAATAAAAGATGTATCAATGCCATCAGCTTCTAGCTCGTTCAGTATTCTTTTCCCTTGAGAGTCATCCGCAACCTACTAAAAAAATTGTGGGAAATGTAGAGAATATTATTCACATAATTTGTTGAAGGGTTAGACATGGATATAAGGGAAAACTAAGAAGAACATCAAGGAAGACAATCAATAATACAACGGTGGCAGGAACAGTAAAGCAGCAAAATCAAAGGTAAAGTATACGCAGACCTTACCACTACCTCGTGAAAGTAGAGAATTTTGTTTCCGAAAGACCTCGGAAATGAAAAAAAAAAAAGGTATAGGCAACAAGAAGCCACATAAAGTTCAGACCTTAGATATAATTCTTTGAGTTAAACCCAAACGAGCTGCACACGTCATAGCATTCCCAGTATTCCCACCTCCCTGAACCTATACAGATCAAAATTATCCACTAAAATTCCAATTAAAAATCAAAAAATTGAGCTCATTCTATCTGATTAATAGCATAGAAAAACCAATTAGACCTGAAAGCTGGTGCTACGAATCTTATCATCAGGCTTAGGATAAGAATCAACAGTAACCAAGTAGTCCAATGCCACCATCCCACAACCCAACTGCTTCAACCACCCAAAAAAAAAAAAGTTAAACCCCTCGTTTCAATTTGTTTGTCCGACTTTATTTTTGTCTGTCTTATTCTTAAATTCCGCGTCAAGTCAAAATCAAACAAACAAATTGAAGCGGAGCAAGTAATTATATAAACCAAATCCAAGAAAATCTTAAGAATTGATAATCAACAGCTAATAAAGAGGACTAGATGAGTACACACAACAATGGTGTCAATTGGGATTGCTGACCCAGATGGGGTTGAGTTAATCGACATTTTAACCATGTATTTTCTACAGTAATAACCAAAAATTAGCTCAATTAACACAAAAATGAAAAGACCCAAGTTGGAGATTTTAAGAAATTAAAGTTGTTGTTGATTGTATGAAGAACCTGGAATAAGAAAGAGTGAAGTTTGTTGGAATCTGACATCTTGACGGCGGCGAAGTAGGTAATTTAAGGCGGGAGCCACCTGTAACAAAGTGTAACGCCCTCATATCTGGCGGGGGTGAGCAACGAGGCTATCTTTTGGGAGTTGACCCTTTACAGATGCAAACCAAAGTTCAAGACGACAGTTTGTTTTTATCAACCGATAATAAAATTATATTTATATCATGAGTTAATATCTCATATGGTCACTTAACTAATACCGTTTTTCATAAAAAGTCACTCAAATTTCATTTATAACTTCAAAGTCACTCAATTGTGAATTTTTCTCACAGAAAGTCACTCAACTAATTGTTTTTTCTTAAAAAGTCACTCAACTTTTTTTATAACTTCAAAATCACTAAACTATGAATATTTTACCTATAAAGTCACTCATCTATTGATATTTCATTTAGAAAGTCACCCAACCTATTTAAATATGTTTTCATTAAATTTTGTTGAAAAACAATTTTTTTAAAAATAATAATAAGATGCTCATTTTAATTATTTTATTAAATTTATTAAAACATAATTTTGCTTTTAAACTAATTTCTTAAAAAATAATAAGATTCTCATTTAATTATTTTATTAAATTTATTGAAACGCAATTTTTGTTTTAAACTAATTTCTTAACAAATACTCCCTCCGTCCACAATAGTTTGTCAGGGTAAGGTCATGCACATCCCTCAAGGAAAATTCAATACAAGGTGTAATTTGACTAATATAACCCTACTATACCAAGAATACCAAAAGTCCACTTAACTTTTCAATTGAACTACATTATCATTAAGGGCAGAATTGGAAAAATTGACTAATTATTTCTTGATTGTTTAAATTGACAATTAATCTTGGACATCTACTTTTAGTATACCTGCCAAACTATTGTAGACGGAGGGAGTAGTAAGATACTCATTTTAATTATTTTATTTAATTTTGTTTAAATACCAAATCATTAAAACGATTCTTTTAATAAAACTGTTATGCAGCCCGGCACCAGCACTAGTAACGGTGGATCCAATGCAATGCATCATTTTCGATTAAAAAATGCTACAGTGTAAATCTCATTATTTTTGTATTAGGTTCACAATAGTTATTATTTCTTTAAAAATAGTTTAAATAAAAATTGTATCTCAACAAAATTTAATAAAATAATTCAAATGAATATTTAGTTTTTTTAAAAATAATTTAAATCAAAATAGTATTTCAATAAAATTTAATAAAATGATTAAAATGCGTATCTTCTTCTATTTTCTAAAAAAATTGTTTCAAAAAAAATTTAATAAGAAAATTAAATGAGCATCTAATTATTATTTTTTATTAAATTAGTTTAAACAAAATTGTATTTTAACAAAATTTAATGAAAACATATTTAAATTGGTTGGGTGACTTTCTAAATGAAATATCAATAGTAGAGTAACTTTGTAGGTAAAATATTTATAGTTGAGTGACTTTGAAGTTATAAAAGAAAGTTGAGTGACTTTCTATAAAAAGAACTATTAGTTGAGTGACTTTCTATTAAAAAAATCTATAGTTGAGTGACTTTGAGGTTATAAATGAAAGTTAAGTGACTTTCCGTAAAAAGAAGTATAAATTGAGTGACCATATGAGATATTAACTCTTTATATCATTGCCATATAAAGTCTTTGATGGTATCAAACTCTTGATTGTTTTATAATTTGTTGATGCTTGTTTTGAGCAAAATACAATTTATCAACTCATTTACATGATTTATTTTATTTGTCGTCTTGTTTCAAGTGTATTCAATGACTTTTTTGGTGTTAAATCTCAATACCTAAATTGGTATTAGATCGATAAATTAATAATTGATAAGTCAATATCCCAATGATTCTTTAATAAAATTCAAAAGTTTTTTTTATGTGTATCACACTCATTATGTCATGTAAGCAAAAAGTGTCAAAATAACGCAGTGAGACTCTACATTAGGTGTATAAAATGAATATCACCCAATTAACCCAATTAAGATATCTAAGTGAAACATCGTACCAATTTTAGGAGATCATTGATGAATTAAGCCTTTATTTTTGGTGTCTAACTATAAAAAGGGCAAATTACAGAAATCACATACTTTTAAGGCACAATTACAATCTATCCATTAAAAGTTTATAATTATAGAAATCCCTCAAACGGATACAATAATATAAGCGCTGATACATTAATCTGATGCGCGAGATACATTAATCTGATGCGCGAGATACATTAATCTGATGCGCGAGATACATTAATCTGATGCGCGAGATACATTAATCTGATGCGCGAGATACATTAATCTGATGCGCGAGATACATTAATCTGATGCGCGAGATACATTAATCTGATGCGCGAGATACATTAATCTGATGCGCGAGATACATTAAATACATTAATTTGATGCGCGAAAATGAGAGATTTTGGAGATTTGTAAAACTTATAGAGAATAATGGTAATAAGGAAACTAAAATGTGAGATTTCTGTAATTTTTCCATATAAAAATCTCTGAACAAACCATCAACAATTTCAGATATCCAAAAACAGAAGTACAATGTAAACATGATAATGAGCTGGACCACCTCATGTTGGCTGAACCACAAGTCCCCAATCATTTGAAAATTGTTATATTACAAACCGAATCACAAATTACAAAACATTCACGTGCCTAATAGAAAAAGTAGTTACTAAAATTGAGCAAGTATGACTAAAAATAGTCTCTCTACTTTCAGGTAGAGGTTAAAGATTTTCATATATATCATCTCGACAAATTTCATCACATTGGATATATGATTGTTTTTATTGGTTCATTAAAATAATTAAGGAATTTATGATAAAGGTGATATAATCGTGCTTTGAGAAGTGTTGTGTTTAGCAACAGAGTATAAGACAGAGACTGAGTAGAAAATGAAGGAAAATGGAGGGTAAACAACAGAGGAATAAGATGCAAATGTGAGAGGACCAAATACAGACCCAACCATTTTAGCATAGTTTGAACAAGTTGTTGAAATGTATTTGAGCTGAGCATCGTAGGCAAAACAGTAAATGAGGAAACTCGTGACGGATAAATACATGTTTATAGGGTGGATTTCAAAGGGGGAGGTATTACTTGGTTGGTACATGAGTTGGAGAAGTTCAACCATAGCTGGGAAAATGAAAGAGATTAGTATGTTGCTGCGTTGAGAAGAAGAAGAGGATACAAATATGTATTGATCTTGTTGATTAGGAGAATAATTAATATTAATGGTAATGCTTGTGAAATTGATCTGTGCATTTAGTGGACTTAATCTTCTTTCCATTCTGTTTATTACAGATTCTGGTACATTTTACAGATTTTAATTTTTGTTCTTCACTGTGTGATTTAAACTTTGGTAACTTAGTGTTTCTGCAAAGTTTTTTGTTTTTACTAGTATTGTTTAGAATACAGATTGACTAACAGGTTTGATACAAGTACACTTGCAAGTTATTAAGGTGCCTGGCTTATATTGATAGTCATGTGCATCTAAAAGAAGAAAAAAAAAGATGGTGTGTATCTTTTCTATTTCTATATATAGAACCCGCAAAGGGTTAAGAGAGTTGTTTAATTTAAATTGTTTGGGTAATAATCTTCTTTGGGTGTTTAGATTGACTAATTGTACACGGTGGATTCAACTCATTTTTAGCAGCATGCACTTTCCCAACTGACTAATCCTTTTTTTCTTTGAGAGTGGGGTCTATGTATGTCGGACATGTTTTGATTAGTACAGAGAAGGTTCCCTTTCCCACCTAATGGAGACATTCTTTTTATGGTATACATGAGTCAAATTTTTAATAGATGACATAGATAATTTTCTACGGTAATATAAAAAATTAGCTCAATTAACACAAAAATATCTTTTGGGATTTGATAGTTTACAGATGCAGACGAAAGTTGGAGACGACAGTTTGTATCAACCAATAATAAATTAACAAATTATATTTATATATTGCAATATAAAGTCTTTGATCTTGTCAAACTCTTGATTATTTTACAACTTGTCACCATTTGCTTTGAGCAAAATAGAATTTATCAACTCAAGTACATGATTCATTTAGTTTGTTATCTTGTTTTTAAACGTATTTCAATAACTTTTTTGTTGTTAAATCTCAACAGTTAATATATAATCGAATCGATAAATCCCATTAATAATTGATAAATTAATATCTTACTAATTCTCTAAACAAGCCATCAACAAATTGAGATATTCAAAAACACAAGTACAATGTAGTAATATTAAGATAATGGGCTTAGATTTTGTCAGTCCAAAACCTAGCTCAACCATAAGTCCCCAATCATTTGAAAGGCTTTATTACAAACCGAATCACACAAAACATTCACGTGCTTAATAGAAAAGTAGCTACTAAATTGAGCAAGTATGACTAAACAGTCTGCACATGCATCACCTTTGCCGGATTTCATATGTGGAATTACACTTGATATGTTATGGTCATTGTTGGTTTATCCAAATAATTCAGGAATTTGTGATAAAGGCGATATAATTGTGCTTTGACAAGTGTTCTGTTTAGCAACTGAGTTGCAGAGTATAAGATACAGAGTGAGTAGAAAATGAAGGAAAATGGAGGGTAAACAACAGAGGAATATGATGCAAATGTGAGAGGACCAAATACATCCCCAACCATTTTAGCATAGTTTGAACAAGTTGTTGAAATGTATTTGAGCTGAGCATCGTAGGCAAAACAGTAAATGAGGAAACTCGTGACGGATAAATACATGTTTATAGGGTGGATTTCAAAGGGGGAGGTATTACTTGGTTGGTACATGAGTTGGAGAAGTTCAACCATAGCTGGGAAAATGAAAGAGATTAGTATGTTTCTGCGTTGAGAAGAAGAAGAAGGGGATACGAAGATGTATTGATCTTGTTGAGGAGAATAATTAATATTAATGGTAATGCTTATGAAATTGCTGCGACTTGTTCTACTAATAGCATCAGCCATTAAAGGAGCAAAGTGTGATATAACACTTGAGAGTTGAGAGTGAGTAAGATAGTGTATAATTCTCCTATATAGAACCCGCAAAGGGTGTCGTTTAATTTTTAATTATCTGTCGTTTTTTTCTATATAGTACAAAAAGGGAGACTTAATGAGGGAACATGGTGACGTAATACAAGAA